CTAAAACCAACCCTGAGGGTACCATGTTCTAGCTTGTGATTCTCCCTGTCTCACCCTCTCTCCATCTTTGTTTCTCTGAAGTGTGACAAGGCAACACAGACCATAACACTTCTTTTTGGTCTACCTTTTCCCTTCCTCACTGCAGCTGTCCTGTTGGAACTGTGCCGACGGGTGCAGGAGGTGTGCCTCTGGCTCAGGTGGTAGCTGCAGTGCCAGTGGGCTGGTGGCAGTTGTGTGTCTGTCTGTCCTTCCCTGCTGCAGTCCTCTCTTCAGCAAAAACCATGGTCTGCAAATGGCCCAAAATTACATGCTTTTTGCAAGCGTTGTGTATCATGAAGGGATGCTTTTGCAGAAACGGCTCCCACAGGGCTCCAGTCTGCTCTGGCTGCTGTTGTAATACGTATACTACTAATTGGCCACCATTTGTTGGTGAGAGATGAGTCTTCTGAAAATTATGAGATTTACTGTTTTGGTGATAAAATGTCACCGAAGGGGATTTTGCTTGATGCTTCCTCACCTTTAGACTTCAGAAAGTTGTGTCACCATAGTTTCTTATCTTTGAAAACTCAGAATTCCTTTTAAAAATGTGTCAGAAAGCCATTAGTTCATTTTAGGATTGTTAAATTCAGCAGCTGTTAATTCTCCTGTTCAAAAATTCCCTCTGTGGACCTCTAATTTGAATAAGACTTAAATACATAGTTATTTTGTCGTTAATGAGAGGTTTCCTTTTTTGTGATGTGCTGTGGGTTTGGTTTTTTTTTTTTCATTAACTGTACCTTTCTTCCCTGACCCTAGCTGCTTTCCTGTATTTTTTTATTAGGTCTGTGGAGGACATCAGATACTCGGGCATGCTCTCTGCTTCTCTGTTTGGTGTCTGTGATTCTCCCCTCCCAGATCTTCTCTGACAGATCTTTAAATCCTCTTCCTGTGAGTGAAAAATCTTTACTTGCTGTTTACTGTTTCGTTTTCTATGTGTCTGTTCACCTTTCCTCCCCCGACACTTTTGTACTACCTGCATTCTGTACCATCCTTATCCCTTCTCTGCATGCTTTGTCCAACAGAAGCTTTGATCTTTTTCATCAGTAGGTTGCCATATGCTACCTGTGCTTCATTTGCTTTCATGTTTCTATTATGCTGAATATACTCAGGAGATGTGAGACATTTTAAACATGAATTGCTGTAACAAGCAGAGGGCAGAGCATTTAAAGCAACTTATTACATCTACCATGGTTTGAGGAGGCACAAGGCATTACACTAGGATTTGGCTTTTTCCTAGGTGTCACAAATCATTGCATATTTAAGTATTTGTAAGCATTGCTCTTCTGATGGACTTGTGTCTGAAAGCATTTGGTTTATTATATGTACAGAATTCCTGTTTTGTATCGACTGTTGGTATCTGAGACTCCAGGGGTTTATTGATGCAACTTGTTAAGGCTGCCCTCAACCTCTCATTTTGAGTAAGAGCTTGAAGCAAGGTCTCTGATGCATGTGATGAGGTTGTCTCGCTCATGCTGGCTGCTGTGTGGAGGAGGCCAGAAGCATAGTACATCACGCAGAACATAGATTTCACATTTTTACAGATGCTGCCACTGAAAAAAGTAATGGTCTGACTGATGTCATCCAGGATGTGACCTGAAAGAGCTGTGGTTTGTAATCACTTTTTTCTCCATGCTATTACCCTTGGTTTGGTGGAACTGTTCACATGCTGCTTCTGCTTCATTGCCTTTTTCACATATGTGCTGTCAGGAAAAGAGAGAGTGAGTTGCAGATTAAATACACCTGTGATTTTAACAGCCTCATCACTCACTTGCTGACACATGAGCATCAGGTGAACTACACCTATTGCTCCTCCTGCACTTGGCAGTATCTTGAGGAGTGGAGTTAATTGGGTACTGTTGTTCTCTTTGTGGATGAGAAGGATTGTGGGAGTCTTGCTCAAAATGAAATTGGGTTGTGGGAAGACTGAGGGAAAGGTGACAAAAGGAAATGTGATGGTGTTTGGTTTTGTCTTTCATTCTTGGGATCACTGCTGAAGAAGACTGGAAAAGTGATAAGTAAGGAGATGGGTGAGGGAGGGCTTAAATCTTTTTTCAAAGCATGCTGAAAAAACTCCTGCATAAGTTAGTAATAACTTATGATAAGAAGTAAATGTTGTGTTATGAGTTGTGTATCAACATGGTGGCGCTGTGAAGTGTTGCCTTCCAGAGAGAGCGAGAGAGAGATGAGGAGTTCAGCCTTTCACACCTCGGTAAAGGGTTGTAGGTGCTGTGACCACCATCAGTACATGCATGAAGAACAGAAAAATAATGACTCAGGATCTTGTTATTCCAGCAAACAGAGGTGGGAGTTGAAACTAATCAAATTCAAACTGAGGGTAAGGTGACTGTTTTTAGGTCTTAAAGGAATTGTGAAGTGGAACAATTAATTAAAGTGTTGTTACTTAGTTCTCTATGAGGGGATGCTTGAAAACCAAGATGTTTCTCACAAAAGGCAGATACGCTTCCATTAAATCAGGGCTACTGGACTTGTAGTGAGAATTAAAACAGAAAAATAAGTCCTGGGGGCTTGGATTTTACAGGCTAGTAATGAATTGGTGAACCTACGAAGGGGAGCCTCTACTGCTGCCTGACAGTCATTAGAGAAATGTTACAACATAAAGCTCCCATTTTTCTGGAACCTTGTTTTTATTTAAGGGCATTTGCACAAAACTGAAACGCTTCATTTTTTTGAAGTTAGTTGACGTAAGTAAACAGCTTAGGACTAGGTGGCTATGCCAGCAAAAGACTTCAGGGAAAATACTGTGTATTTTCTGCACTGCCCCTTTGAGGCATTTGCTGTGTTGCTTCAGTATCCTATTCCCCTGATCCTGCCATCCCCTGTCATCTGGGGCTGCCCCACTGTCCTGGAGCAAGGAGAGTCTTCCCAAGCACAGGGAGCAGATCGGCACCCTGGGGCCTTGACCATGAGTGTAGCAGAATGCTGCCCAAGAAGGCTATGTCCTTGCAGGTGCTGTCCTGCAGGGTCCATCTGTACACAGTACAGAGAAGCTGGGTTGTTGTGTTCTCCTGGGGATGTTATAGAAAATATTACTCTTACAGGATCTTCAGATTACTGTGAAGAACTTTTCAGGAACACAGTGTTTCAATCACAGGGTTGTGTCCCCATACAGCAGTGATTCCTGATCCTACATCCATGGAAGGAGGGGGAAAGGGAGGAGGTTTTGCAGCTGTAACCAGATAGCTCTGCAGCAGATGACCAAGACAAGTATGGCCTTCTCAAGTGCTTGTCTGGGCTTTTGAGAGACTGCAACAGAAAAATCTCTCTGCTTCTTTGTGATTGATAGGTTATCATAGTTTAAGCTAACATCTCCTAAATACTTCCAGTATTTGAGTCATTGTAAGAAAACAACTTAATTCCATCCTATTGATTTCTAAATGGGTAAAAAACATCTCTTGTGTTTAACAGAGTGGAAGTGATATTGACATGTCACTGATTTAGTTAAACTTTATTTGCTTACATAAGGAAAGTTTGTTTGACAAAAAGGTGAAGTGTTTATAGATTTGCATGCTTTGATATATGCCCTTCTGAATGTAGTATTATTCTACTATCTTACAAATCTTCTCAAGATCTTTGCAATGGATTTGAAATTTATTCTAAGATTTGGCTGTGGTACAAATCTAACCAATAATTTAGCCTAACTGAAAAAAAAGAATGGATTTAAGATCTTAGAAGTTTATTTTTTAAGTCACAAAGAAATTCTTGTTTACTTAATTCACATACAGAAGCATAGTGCTGAGAGAATATGAAGAAAGGCTGAGAGAGTTGGGCTTGTTCAGCCTGGAGAAGAAAAGGCTCCAGGGAGACCTTACTGCAGCCTTCCAGTACCTGAAGGGACCTACAAGGAAGCTCTGGGGGGACTTTTTACAAGGGCCTGTAGTGACAGGACAAGGGGTAACAGGTTTAAATTGAAAGTGGGGAGGTTTAGATTAGATATCAGGAAGAAGTTCTTCATGGAGAGGGTGGTGAGGCACTGGAACAGGTTGCCGAGGGAAGCTGTGGATGCCCCATCCCGGGAAGTGTTCAAGGCCAGGCTGGATGAGGCTTTGAGCAACCTGGTCTAGTGGAAGGTGTCCCTGCCCATGGCAGGGGGGTTGGAACTAGATGGTCTTTAAGGTCCCTCCCAACCCAAACCATTCTATAATTCTGTGTTCATGAAAAATGACATGCAGGGGTGAATACCACCTAATTCTCCAATCCTGATTAGAGTGCATAATAGGCAAAGCTATAAGATTTACAGTAGTTACATAGTATATGAAATGAGAATAATTGTAATTCCAATTTAATTAGCTCTAAAGATAAATGAGAATGTATTCATATGCAACATGACATTTATAGCATTTTATAAAAAAAACTTGTGGTTCCCTCTGGTTTTAATCTCTTTTCTAGAACTCTATTATTGTTAATGAGAGAGAGAGATCAGCTATTTTAATTTATTTGTATGGGCACCTAATCGAAACACTCTCATGACTTCCCTGCAGAGAAGGGAATATACCAGCACAGAACATGAAACAGTGGTGTATCAATGTCTTTGGGTCAGGGAGTTTAAAACCATTTTACAAAGTCAGTGAAATTTATAGTCTATTCAGATACTCACTTCATCTGCTTCCCAACAAAAAGTTTTTTGTGTTTTTTTTTCATGGGAGCTTTTTCTTTGCTTTTAACGTGAGGGAAAGGTTTGACTTTTAAAGAAAGGATTTTTATTTTTTCTGTCTGAAATGGGAATGCGTGTAGACATATTTCATTAAAGTTGCTGTAGTAGAAGTTTGCTCACCCTGCTTTTTAATGAATGATTACTGTTGTGATCATTAAACTCATAGGCTAAGACATTCCTGCACTTCTCTGATTGCTACCCAGTATTGAATGAGTCTAGGTATCCTTGTTTTCAGATAGAAATTTCCTGTAATCTGGAATTTCAAACAGTCCTGATTACCTTTTTACAGCTTGGAGGTTGCCAGCCTGACACGGGCAGATGCAGATCTGGAGGCATATCGAACGCAGATCTGTAAAGAAGTTATTGCTATGATGATGAAGAACATGGTCTTAAGTCACAGCCTCTTTCCTCACGTGGAGAAGAGAATGAGTTCAGTTTTCAAAAAGCAGTTTCTTGCAATGGAGAAGGAGATTCAAGAGGAGTATGAAAGGAAGATGGTGGCTTTAACAGCTGAATGTAATCTGGAAACTAGGAAGAAAATGGAGGCTCAGTGCCAAAAAACGAGAGCTGCAAATGAAGAGGCTGAGGAATTAATGAAGAAAATAAATGAAAAGGTAAATCTGATATAAAATCAAGATGTTGGGCATGATGTGTGGTTTTATATAGATGGTTTCTCTATTAGGGTAGAATGTGTGAGTTATCCTCTTAGAAGAATAACGACAAAAGCTGTATGATTTAAATGTGTTCAGAAATTCAGGTGTCATAATTGGGGTAGTTGTTATTAAAAAAATGTTTTACTTCACCAGAAAATGCATCTATCTCAAGAGAATCTGTGATGCTTGAAAACAAAAGGTTGTTATTACCCTGATTTTTTTATTTTTATGGTCACTTAAACCCCTGCAAAGTGGTGTATTTTTATTTACTGTAGTTGACTGCAGCAGTTCCTAAGAACTCTGGTTAGATACTGTGTAAAGTATTTTGCACATTCAGAGCAGAACAGACTACCTGCATCATAAACCTTACAATCTAGGTAGAAAACCTCCAATATTTATATTCTTATTTTGAAGAAATTGAGGATATAAGCACAACCAGAGGCCGATTTCCTCCAAACTGAGTGAAGGTAATCAGCACAGTCTGTATTTTAGGCAGAGCAGGGAGTTAACTTCTCTTGGAAACAGCCTCTGGATAATAGAGATATAAATAATTTAAGGTAGAGTATGATTCTTTACAAGTCTCCTTTTAAGTAAAAGCTTAGTGCCTATGTGTGCCCCTTTCATTCCAAGATCTCTGTCTGAATGAGTAAGTATCATTACCCAGGATTTCATGGTAGTAGTCACTAGCTGGAAATTGAGCCTTTGGTCACCAGTCCAACATCCCTTGTACAAAATCATGCTCCAGCCATCCCTGCCTTTTTTAAAGTATATTGAATCTTTGCAATAAAAATTATTTCCTCCCCCCCCCCCCCCCCTTTTTTTTTCACTTCCTGTATGTGGGAAGTATTCTGTTAAGTATTTAATATTTCACCTCTGTAAGCTTAAAATGGCGAAATACCCAAGTTAATGTTTCATGCTTGTTTAATGTTGTAACTCATATTAAGAGGATTATTTGGTGGTGAGTTTCCAGCTGTCTGTTTCAGTTCATCTATAGAGACAAAACCAGTTACATTAGGAGTATAATCCCTTAGACCAGTATATTTCTTATTTGTGTATGCTTTCTTTGTAGGCAGTACTTAAGTTTTTAGCTTTCTGTTTTGGTGTTGGTTTTTTTGTTTCTTTGTTTTAAATAATTTTTACTTGCATATCCTATACCTATAATTGTTAAGGACTTTATGACCATTCATGATTGCAGTTTTGACAACAGAAGTTTTTTGCTGACTGTGACCCATGAAAGGTATTACAGTATGTGTAGGCTCTCAGGAAGAACTTTGGTTTATCAGGCTGTTATGTGGAGAAAGTTGATGGCACAAGACTAGTGAGCCAGCTGAATTTCTTTGATGTTTCCAGGTGAATTTTAAGTTGTGACTCTGGGGATCTTTCAAGTATGTGTAGGATATGAAGATCCCAAAGTAGAGGTGCTGGAAAGTCAAAGGAGATGGCAAGCAAGGCATACTTGTGGACATCTTTATAAGGATGAGGTGAACTGTACGCTGCAGAAGTCTTTTTCTTTCAGTTGCTTATAGAAGGGCTTAGACTAGATGTCTAACACTTATACCTCACTGAGATAAATCCTACCTTTGCAGAGAGAGAGGTCCCTGACTGAAACTCAGCATGTGAACTCACAGTAAATATGCTCTCAGCAAAGCAGCTTTTCTTTACACAAAATACATTGGTATTGGTTCACTCTGGTTTATATTGGAAATCTGGCATGGTGGGAATCAAAGAAAGAATTAAGGCCAATCCAGTACTTGTCCTCGTCCATTTATCATATACCAATGTCTTGCTCTTCACTTACCTTTCTGTGAAAGGCCCTGTTTTTGTACTTGCTGTGGAACTTGGTCCAAAAGAACATACCAGAGTGCTAGAGCTGGCCCACACTTGCACTCCTGGCAGCAGGAGTACTGCTGTCCAAGGGATGGCAGTAGAAAACAGCTGGAGCAATAAGCTCCTCCCCTTCTCAGCCAAAACACAGAACGTATGTTCCCTGCCATTTTGATTAATTATGTACTGTCTGCAGTGTGTCTCTTGGGAATGAGGGGTGATGTGCAGAGAACAGCATTCCCCAGATAAACAGTATGAAATTTAGAACAAGACCAACGTGACTACTGTTAGGTAGCTCTGCTGGCATAAGAAGCATTCTTTGCTCTGTGGGACATGTATGTTTTGATTCTGTAATGAGTTTATGCCATCTGAGATTAAAACTATGTATATATAAGTCTTACTGGAGAGCTATAAGAAAGTATTTTTTGCAAAGAAACTTTTAAATTAATTGCCATTTAATTCTACTATGTTGTAACTCTAAAATGATGCTCTTGGATTAATTTGTAGAAACCAATAGACAAAGTAGGTCAGCAATAGTAAGAACTTTGAGAGATGTGTAGTAGAATAACTTTTCTAACTTATATTGTTTTTTAAATGTATGATAGTTGTTATTCCATTGTTCTGACCAATGAGAGTATTCAATTTTAATAAGATTTTAGGATTGATGAAACCTATCAAATTAATTTCACATATAGTCTTAATGTTGAGTTTCATGCCTTTTTAAAAATAATTTTCCTTAAATAATGCTTCTGAATTCTAAAAAGACTTCATTATGCCTTGGATATGTTATCTGGATTAGAGATTGACAGCTGTATAACCCCTGTCATTCCAAAAAGGTGAAAACTATGGAATGTGCATACTTACTTAGTAGTATTAGCCTTCATTCAAACCTGAAATGACAGTAATCAGAGTATGCGTAAAACATGTATGAGCTAGTAGCACTGATACTTTAACATATGTTGAATATTGAAAATCACTTCAGATTTATTTATTTCTTTCCTCTGCAGCCTGCTGTAGAATACAGAAGTCTTCTGGATAGAGTTCACAGGGTGGAGCAGGACCGCTTGAAAAGGTTCCTTCTGGTAAAGCAGGAGGAATATTTTGCAAAGGCTTATAGACAGCTGGCTGTGACCCAGAGAAAGGAGCTCCATGGTATCTTTTTTACACAGATAAAAAATGCTACTTTCAAGGGAGAACTGAAGTTGGAAGCAGCTAAAACATTAGTGGAAGGTTACTCTAAAATACAGGTAATGGGATGATAACTCCACTCCTAACCTATGTGAGAATACAAACACACAGTGGCTTTTGAGAAATGATTCAGGATGAATGTTACCACTTTCATAATTACTTTTCTTAGGAAGAACTTTAAAAAGTATAATGCCATCTTTATGCACGTCTAGACATCTACACAACTGTGTATTGATGCATATGCACAGCCTTTTTCTACAACTGTGGGTTAGTTGTATTTGCCACAACATTACATGCTTAGTGTTGTCTTTTGTTTTCATGGGTAATATTTCTAAAGTACCCAAGTGCTTAAGGCTTGTCTTTACTGCTCAGGGAAAGTAAGATTAGTGGCTCACCTGTATCATGCAGAAGAAGGAAGTTTGAAAACATGTCTACACCACGCAGTTGGAAATTGTGTAATATAAATCCCCAGTTTTGCAGTGAATATTCTGATATATCTACACACCTGGAGGCTCTGCTTTCCTCCTGAAAGCTCTGTTGGTGCAGCTCTGTCCCTAAACCCTCCCTGAAAGGATGGTCTGAGAGCAGATTGTGCTTGTGCAGCAAACTTCTGGTTCCAGGTCTATCCTGGCTGGTGTTAGTGGGGTCCTCAGTGTAGTACAGAAATGCCAGAGTGACATTTTCAAATGTAATTTCAGCTCAAATAAATGGACTTAGGCAACTAAGAGAACAGTTACGTACCTAAATCTATTTTATGAATGGTGTTTTCTAAAACAAATCAGATGCTGTCTAATGAATGATAAGTACCTTTAGAAGCCTGTCTGTACAGGCATTTTCAAAACCCCCTAGGCATCAAGTGCTTTTCTATACTCCAGAAGATGTACTGAGCCTCCCCCCAGTCCAGCAGTGTAGATTATTGAAGTTGTGGTATATCTGAAGTGCTATGGTTTTGTACTTTGAGGGGTTGAGTCTCTCTTACGCAGTCTGGGAGTCTAATGAAGAGTATGTTAAGGACTTCAGCCTCTTGCAACAGAATAGCTTGAGTGGTTTCCTCAAGGGTTTTGCACAGAAAAGCCACACATGGGCCACTGTCATGTGTAAATGCAGCAAGCACATGTGTAAAAGATAGTTGAGCAGCCAGCAGAAGATAGAGCAAATGAAAGAAGTTGTGACAATGTTTTGGCTGCTCAGACATGGGTCACCTAAGTATCAAACCTTGCTTTGGCTACCTGATGCTAGCAGAATGGTAGCCTTGAAAGGCTGGAGAGGTGGGCAGCCTCATGAAGGAGCACCTCTCCTGTGAAGACAGGCTGAGAGAGTTGTGATTGTCCAACCTGGAGAAGTATTACTCTACTATCTTGCAAATCTTCCCCATATCTTTGCTATGGATTTGAAATTTATTCTAAGATTTGGCTGTGGTACAAATCTAACCAATAATTTAGCCTAACTGAAAAAAAAGAATGGATTTAAGATCTTAGAAGTTTATTTTTTAAGTCACAAAGAAATTCTTGTTTACTTAATTCACATACAGAAGCATAGTGCTGAGAGAATATGAAGAAAGGCTGAGAGAGTTGGGCTTGTTCAGCCTGGAGAAGAAAAGGCTCCTGAGAGACCTTACTGCAGCCTTCCAGTACCTGAAGGGACCTACAAGGAGGCTGAGGGGACTTTTTACAAGGGCCTGTAGTGACAGGACAAGGGGTAATGAGTTTAAACTCAAAGTAGGGAGATTTAGGTTGGACATCAGGAAAAAATTCTTCATGGAGGAGGTGGTGAAGCACTGGAACAGGTTGCCGAGGGAAGCTGTGGATGCCCCATCCCGGGAAGTGTTCAAGCCCAGGCTGGATGAGGCTTTGGGCAACCTGGTCTAGTGGAAGGTGTCCCTGCCCATGGCAGGGGGGTTGGAACTAGATGGTCTTTAAAGGTCCCTTCCAACCCAAACATTCTATTATTCACCTCTCATCTCTACCAGACTCATTTACAGGTACCTAAACCATTCCTGTTCTCCGCTGTTCGAAGGAGGAACTTCTAAGCCAGCCTGTGCACAGTGAGCTTGGCTTTCCTCATGCTGTACTGGCCACACATGAAAGGCTTATCATTGGCTTTGAAGTCCATTTAGACACCTTTGAAAATGTTACTCTTTATTTATGTGATCATACAATATATTGTAAAGAAAAGAGAAAGGGAAAAAAAAACCAAAACAAAACCAAAAAGAAAGGGGGTCATGATGCCACTTATTGCTCTTACTGAACACATGCTCTTTTCAGGTCCTAGTTCAAGAAGACCTTTCAGCCTGTGGGTACCTTTAAGCAGGAACAGGTCTACTAGTACTGGTAGTCTTGCATGCCTATTTAATTGTGGGTACCTGATCAAATGATCTGTTAACTTGGGTCTCTCGGGAGGTGCACTAGGTATTTAGGAGAGTACATACAGTGTTGAGGTATTCAGGCCCAAAGCTCAGCACATTATTTATTTTGCTGCGTTGAAATAAGAGTCCTAATTTGATGTGATCATTAGAGTTAAGTTGATATAAGCTTATTGCTTTTCATTTGTAAGTGCTTTTTAACTTTGCCCTGTTAATGAACAAATCTGGTCTGATACCCCCAGGTGTTTACTGAAACTAACATTGCTTCTCATTAAATACATTTGTTCACATTCTTTCCTGTAGGGAGACATTGAAGAGCTAATGGATTTTTTGCAAGCTAGCAAGAAATATCATCTAAATAGAAGATTTGCTTACAGAGAGTATCTTATAAGTAAGATACAGTTAAGGGATTCTCAAGCCTCTGCTCTTATAAATACAGCAGCAGCCCACATATCAAGTCTCATTAATAAGATGGAAAGGTAAATACATTAATTCTTTTCTTGGCAGCCATTTGACTACATTATCTTACAGGCAACAGAATAGTCTTCAAAAGTATTTTTGTCTGTGTTACCTAGCAGGAAAGGTGCATAAAAATGTTATCTTTTAAGTTAATGCTAAGAAAATAACCTCGTAACCGATGACTGTTAGGTAATATCGCAGCAGACACTAAGGTGGGGCTTTGTTGTTTGTGTCCACTTTGTACAGCACAGAGATGAATTGCTGGGAACATGTATAGTACCTGTTTGAAATTCTGACTTCAATGGGAACCAGACTCATGTAGGAGTCTCAACGTCTTTATAGATTCATTAGTCATGTAAATAGTCCTCAGTCATGTGAAAAGTCCTACCTGAGACCATCACAACATGCACCGGTTAAGACCATTTGTGTGGGTTATCTGGATTTAACAGAATATTTTGATTTACTTGTGATTGTATGTGTTTGAGGAGGTGGATGTACAGTCTTGAGCTGCCACAGCTGCTGTGGCAGGAATTCCTTTCAGGCAAACATTGGCCAGATGTTACGTTGTTATTCATTCTTTCGATGTTGAGATTAAAAAACTCTAGAATGTAGTATTTCAGATTATCTGCTAGTTGGTGGGTTGTTTGTTTTTTTTTTCCTACAGGCAAACTGAAATATCCTAGTATAATCCCTGAGAAAATTATAATCTATGCTAGGTAGGCTTGTATTTCAGTTTCTAATTGTAAAGGGACCTGGGGAATATTTACAAATTTCAGCATTAAAATTTGAGCAGTAAGAGAAGCCTGGTCTGAGTAGCTAGTACTTTAAATTTGTATCCATAATATCCTCTTGTTTTTCACTTTAGCATTGAATCTGCTTGTCTAAATATAGATGCAGGTCTGTCTTAATCTATTGTGTCCAGTGTTAATAGCGTGCCGTAAGCTTACTCTTATAAATGGAATTTTAAAATGCAGAACTGTTTGTATAGAGAAGAGAAACTGAGAAAATATGTAGATTAGATATACCACAGATAAACAGATTCAGGGATGCATAAACCAGCAGGTAAATGATGAGGGGAGAGGTCTTTTAAAAATGGAGCTTAATGGGATGATTCAAATTTATCAGGTAGTAAGGCAATTTCAAATTAACATGAAAAAGATTCCTTGTGGCCAGAATTGAACATTAGAAAAAGCAAAATAAACCCAAACCAATTCTTGGGAGTGTTGTGAACATTTTAGATGAAATAGAGCAGCCAAAGTCTTCAGGCTGGGCTTTCTAAATATAGTATTTAAATAAAATGTCCCATTTGTCAGGACTGGCTGTGGGTACTCAGTGTCTTTTGGAAATCAAGTCCATGGACTGCAGTGCCAAAAGGTGCGAAAGCAAGTTTTAAAATACAGTCCGTAATGGTGGATTTCAGGGACGTCTAGCTTGGCTCTTTATGGTTTCCTTTAAAGCGTAGTGGGCAAAAGGGCAATACTTGAGGCAGTATGTGTCCCGGGTTGTTCCAGCTATCAATGGAGGCATGTTCTTGATGGCTTTCAGCTACAGCAGCTGTAATGTGTTGCATCCTTCTTTTTCCAGTATCTGTTTGTTCACAAGAAGTTTTCTTCCTTCTTTGGTTTGTTAAAAACTGAACCCAATTCTTGTGACTTGTTAGATATCAACAACTCAAGCTCCTTTATAAATTTCTTCCAAAACTTTAATTTTCGTAAGACCTCAAGAATTTATTGAGTACTGTGTTTTTAAAGTGTTCGATTGACTCACTTAAAAGATTGAAGCAAAACATTTCATATTGGTCTCGTTCTTCTGAATATTCTCCATTTATGTGGACCTTGTTATAAGTAAAGAAGTTTTCCAGTGTCATGCTAGACCTTTCAGGAAGTTGGTGTTGGAAAGTGAGTGCCTCCAGCAGTAATGCATCAGTATAAAGTTTTCTAATAATCTCTTAAAACCTTTTCTGCATGTTGCACTTTGCTATCTAGGGCATTTATTGCCCTGAATTATTTACATAAATTCTGATCTGAGCACCAGCAAGATGCCAGTTCAAAAAAACTGAAGCAGCTGAACTGGAGTAGAATGGGCACAGTCTTGCAGGTTGTCTCCATATAGTTTCTGCATGGTGTTGTGATTCAGCCTCCATGCACATCCAGGCTGGCACAACTTTTCTGCTGCATACCCATCTCCTTTTGCTTTGGTTACGCTCCCCTGCATTCTTGAGCTTTCATAAAACAATCTTACTTTGGACTCCAGCATCCCTTAGATTCTTTAGCATCAAATATAAACTACTGCTTTTTACTTTCAGTGCCCTCATTCCATATTTTCTCCTAAATTTGTTGGCTTTTGTTCTGCCTCTGATTTGACCTACAATACTGCTGCTATTGGCCGCGCTTCATCTCTGCACCTTCCTTGGTGCTCACTGTTTTTGGGGGGGATCTCCCTGCAAACATCCTTGACGTTACTGCAGTATTCTCCTTCATTAAAATTCTCTTTTTTCAAAGACATTAAACATGTGCCTGTACATTTCATCAGTGACTAGATGTCTGTTATACTGAGACCAAGCAGTTTATCGTACAGTCTGTACTGTCTCATTGTCTTTTCTCCTCTCCTATTTTGTGTTTCAGTTCAGAGTGTGTTTGGAACATGACATCTTTTAATTCTAGTACTGTAATTGTTTTTATGCTGTATTTATATGAAACCAGAAATGAAAGTCTCTTCCCAGGATTGAGCCCTCTAGGAATTACTGGGACACTGATTAATATGAGTTGCCGCATAGACTCCCGTAGAATTCTGTGGTGTTAGGTGTTTTGTCCTTTACTTTTGTTATCTGGGATTCCAAATAAATAAATAGATAGGTTTTTACAATACTGCATCACCTACAGTTTGAGCTGTGGACATATTTGATCTATAAATAAATCAACAACTTGAAACTGAAATAACATAGACACTTTTTTTTTTTTTTCCCTCTTAATCCTAAGAATAGGTAGGTATATAGCATTTTCTAGTCATTGTATGGTGCATGGCTGTTGTTAAACTTTCATTTGCTGGGTGGTTCCAGCACATCTGTCTTTTTCTATTGCAGATCCTTTTCACTGCTCTGGACAGGGATTTTAATTGGATGCAGCAAGCCTGGGTTTATTTTCTCAGTATAAGACAGGATGAAAGTGTTAAAAATAATATCTTTTTTATTATCTTGCCTCACTTCCTCACCATAATAAATCTACCTTTTATTTGCTAATCTTTTTCCCTGGGTTAGATCAAAAGGAGGGCAAGACAGTTGCCAAATATGGACTGGGAACTTGGTGCTGTTGGTTTTTTTTTTGGACCTTACACTGAGATTTAACATTGACTGCTTTCAAGGCAAAAATTACATGGTGAAAAGACCCAAGAATGATGCTTGGTGGATTGCTCTCAAGGTACTGAGAGGTATTTTAATCCTCTTTGCAGGAGATTAAAGAATTACAATAGATAAATGTTGGGAAAACTCTGCAAAAGGAGGCGCTCTCTGGTTGATGTAACTATGTGATAAAGCAGAGCTGAGTTTCTATCCAGCGCAGTCATTGTGTAGGGGATGGTGTTTCATGGCTTGCTCAGGTACTGTGGATGCTTGAGCGGTAGATGGAGAGGTGTGAATTGTGGAATCTGGCCACCACGGTTACAGTGCAGTGGTTGCAAACAAGCTGATACATTAATCTTCTGGTTTATTTCTTTTAGATTTTGAGGATTTTATTTGGAATGAAGCTGTTATGGTATCAACAAATCCTCATAAACCAGAATGAGACTCTGTCCTTTCTGGAGAAGGGCTTGCAATGTTTAGCTGCTGCTCTAGTTTATGAATTGGGCCAGGTATTGTGCTAGAACAGGGACTTGGAAGGCCTGGAACCAGGATCTGTGCGTGATGTTCCTGTCTTCTGAAAAATGGAGATTTGAGAAATAAACCAGGAGGTGTTTGGATAACATCCAGGTTCAGGTCAGGAGTTGGTGTTTTCTACTCAAAGTTCCTTGTTGACCTTTTCAGCACCACATTTTGGAAGTCCACTGTACTTAATGTTAGAAATTATAACTCACAAATGTCCAACAGCCTGGACTGAATGAAGATGTTCTTTTATTCTGCTGTTGTCTGAGAACGTTTTGCGGGATTTCTGGTGGAAATATGATAGCAAGTAATTTTTGAAATTCAGTTTGAGTTTGTGGAGAGCAAGTTTTCTTTTCTAACTCTTGCAAGCATGGTTGGGATCTGGCTTACTCTTTGAAATTAAATACTGTAGCAACTGGAGGTAGACCATAGTCTGGAACTTCCATTTGAAAGAGCTGTGGGCTTCAGACTGAGAATTTGCTCTGTTAGGTTATTGTATTTCACTATTAGTTTGAAATATTTATAGTTCTTCTGATGATGTAAATGTAATAGGAAATATGAATATGAATCTTTTTATGGATATGATTGCTTTGTATCTTTAAACTAATTTTTAATTGTTTTTACTTGATTAGATTACATCTTTTAAAGAGGAAATTGTTTCTAATGAGGAAGGAGTTATAAAAGATGTTTAGAATTGCATTTCAGGGGCATTAAATGAAAAATGTAAATATTATGAATAATATATAAGGTTTAAAATGTCTCATTTGAATACTGCTTACATTACTGACAGATATGTAATTGGTTTTACATTTACCTTTCCTTCCTTCCTCCTTAATGCACCTTCACTCTGCCTTCACAAACTTCCTTAACTCTACACTCATCTCTGAGGTTATCTATTATCCACTTACTTATTTGATCCTCCCATGTATCAGTGCGAAAGAAACAAAGATTGTTCTGTGTGTCTGCTTTGTTGAGCCTTACTATGGTACTAATTGCCTCAAATATCCTTTCGCTCTTAAGAATTTGGGATAACAGACTTCAAACACTCTTATTACAGAGCAGGTCATCTACCTGAAAGTCATTTGGGAATGCTGCTGGACCGAGCTGAAGCTGAAATTAATTCTGTTAAACAGAAATTCGATCATGATTTAAAACAAGAAAAGCAAAAGCTTCGCCAGAAACTCAATGCCAAGCGAAGGCAGGAAATGCTGCAGAAGGTAATTATTTTCAATATATTTATTTTCACAGGGCTTATCATGAATTAAAAATTGAATTAATTGAAAAATAAAGCGTAGTTCTTATGACAGGGGTCAGCACTGCCAGGAGCAAAGATGAAAATAAGTGGCTGTTGGTTTTAGCTGTGTACTGTGATGTGCTGTATTAATCATGCAGTAAGGTATAGCTGCTCTTCTAGAAAAACCTGCAAGAAAGTAATAGCTGGAGAAACTTGTGAAGTCCCTCTACTTAGTCTAACCTGTCCAAGGATGTTATGACAAGCCTCTGTAATGTGCAGACAGGCAGAAGCCAACTGAGGTTCTGAAGTCAGTGAGCTGGCACAGGTCTGGGACAGTTGTCGTTTTCTATGGGTTTCCTCACTATGTGGGACTTGAATAACTTCTATAGCACAGTTAAAATTCAGCTACAAAACAAAACTATTTAAAAGATGCTGTACCTGTGGTTGCTTGTGGTAGGAGTCATGTCAACTCAACTCAGCCTTCTCAAAGTCACAGCCAACTCTTAAGATCTCCAAATCATCTCATAATGGAGGATGACTTGCAGGTGATCTGAGATAAATGGAAGGGAGTTGTTATCCAAGGATCCTTATCTTTCTCTGCCTAAAGGATGTAGACTATCTTGGGTTAGGTGACCTTTCTTTTGATGACCAAAGTTAGGTGAGATGGATTTTTACCTTTTGCAGCATATATGTTTCAGTGTTTTCTGCTCTTTACCAGATATCAGTGCAAGGAGAGCCAGCAGGTATAACTATGGAGGCTTCATTTGTGTATTTATTATCAGTATATGTAGCTTTGGTTTAGCTTTCCAATGAAATTACTGCATGCTGCAAAATGGGGAAAATAAAAAATTTTGAAGCCCCTCTTCTTCCTCCCCTAACCCCTCCCCCCCATTCTTTTTATTCCTTATTATTTGATCCAGATTCACTTCTGGAATGCTGCCAGATGCTACAGTTCAGCAAGTTGGGATTGTGTCAAGATCATGCATTTGTTTAGATGTTAGCCCTTCTATCTAGCAACAGTCCAAATGACCACATGCCTGTGTTAGTTCTTCTATCTAACAATGATCTGAATTGTCACAGGCCTGCTAGATGCACACAAAGCCATCATATGGAGGGCTAGGTAGGTCTCTGAACAGCAAAAACAAGTTTCGAGAACACTGAAAAACAAAAGTATGAAATTTTGCATTGATATGAAATACATACTTAAAGAGCTAGAAATTGAGATATTCCTTCTCTTAACCTTCTTCCTCTTTTTGGCAAATGATTCAGCAGAAAGAGCATTGGAAGGAGCATCTCTCACTTGGAGACCCCTTCAAAACTGCTAAGGAGGTCACTCATTACCTGAGCCACTGGAAAAATCTTCTGAGTGATTACACCATCGAATTTGAAGAACTTACTGAAAAGCTTGACAATGAGGCCAGTGAAGAGCTGAAAGATCTTCTGTTTAGTCTAACAGAGAAAGCTGTTGAAGAGCTTAAACGAGTTCAGTGTGCAGTATTTGTGCAAGAACTGGTCAAGCTCAACGTGCCAAAGATGCTTCTGCTAGAAGCTGTGGAGGAGCATAAGAAAGAGATGGTTGTCAAGCATGAACAGCTTGAAAGGGAAGAGTGTGACAAGAGCACAGCCATTGAAGAGCTGCTTCAGCTCACCAGGCAGAAGCTAAGCCAAGAACTGGAAACAAGCGTATCTGAACAAAAGAAATTAAGGAGCTGGGAACAATCAGTATTGATGCAAGTATCTCTGCACCCTTTTCTTAGTTACTATTGCAAATAGAGGTGAACTGGGCGTTTTCACACCTGCCTGGGAATAATTCCTAATGATCATTCCCTGTTGGGCACTTGGGAATTGATTTTTTTTGATTTTTTTTTTTTTTTTTGGGGGGTGTGTGTTTTTGTAGGCACTCAGCCCTGCAATGCTGGCAGGTGAGTGCTGCGCTGGAAATCCCAGAAACAGCAGTTTCGAAACCAAAAATGTGGAGTGGTGTTTTTATACTTCCATTCACTCCGTGTCAGGTTTCACTTGCACAGCTTTCATTTTTGTTCTCAGAGGTGCAGCACTTTGGAATTAGCATTTAATATGTCAGGCCTAATTAGCCCCACATCCAATTCATTATATTCCTTCCAGCCACAAGTCAATCCTTACTCATTGGGTTAATCTTAAGATCTCCTACAGTATTTCCACATATTCCATAAATACACCATGCAGTAGCCTACCTCTCCAGCTCATGGGCTCCATGCATCAGATGTGTCCAGTTGTGCCTGCTGACAGATTGCCTCTGGCACTGAGCCAGAGCGGCATCATGGCATGGGCAATGTTGCAGAGAGGTTTGCTGGCCCTGAGTGCACGTCATGGCCATTGCTGCCTGCTGTGACATGATCCTGGAGAGGTGGGAAGGCGGATGGTGGCCTTAGCACCACTGGGAGACCTTGTGCAGGAAGAGACTGTGGCTGCAGCCAAGAATCGTACGTGTCGTACGTCGGGAGTGGGAAGCAAGGTTCCTGAGAGATCAGCACTGCTCGTTAGCATTTCTTCTTAGCTTTCAAGTACATTTATGAGTAGTTGTTGTATTGCCTCAATATTTACAGCACTACATTTCTTATACAATGCCTATTTAATAACGGACATTGTTAGAGACATGGTAACATGAAAATAGTCTGCTGTCAAAACTGCAGCTTTAGGGGAAGCAACTGGAACAGGCAAACCTATATTAGGCTGTCTGCCCCTGGAGCAAACGTACTGGGCATGGGAGGTTGGTTGGGGGTTTGAGGGGAACAGATTTGCATGGGCATCTTTTTTCAGACAGCAGCTTTATAAGTTTGCTTGCTGCACAGTGTAAAACCATGTAACAGAAACATAAGAAACCTTGCCCATGGCTCTGGTAAAGAAAGAAAATCCATTTGTGTCTTGTTTTGGTTGTAATTTCAAGGGCTTTGTATTTTATTCAGCATTTTAAATACTTTTCCATAAGCTATTTGAATATATTTTCTAGCTTGTCTTATTATCTCTTACTTACATTGCTGAGAGCAGACCTGAGGAGCAGGGAAGTAGATGGTATGACACAGCAGGTCTTTCCTGTTTCTGACTTACAGTTCCATGATAATTGTGTTCCAGCCTGCAGTGTTGCCTCTTATGTTTGTTAGATGTTATCTTTATTTACAGCAACAGTCAGCTGTTTGGCTTGTTCCAGTAAAATGCTGGAAAATATATACAAATAACACGGCTTTTGCACAACTGTGCTGTCAAAAGCCCCTTGAAATCTGTCAAGTCTTTGTGTTCAGTCCACTGACTGTCAATTTTGATATTTCGATGACAGATGCCAGCTCTCATGTTCATGTTCTCACCCGCTATCGAGTTTTCACAAAGAATTATTTTTAATTACAGCTTTTCATTTTTGTTGCTTATCAAAGAGAACACGAGTTAGTCCGAAATATTTGGGAAGATCATTAACGCTTAAAGTCCCCTTTAAGCACTGATATGACAGAACTGTGACTTGCTGTCTTTTCTTTTATATCTTGGTCTATATATCTGTATGTATGGATATACAGTATGGTTTTTCTTCTAAAATTCTAAGACTACATGAAAGATGGTTATGTATACTGCAAATGCTTGCTTGGAGGAATGTTGCCTTGAAGTAAGGAATTTTTTGAAGATAAAAACTTTATGCATTAAAAATGTTTTAATTTAGGATTGTGCTGTACTTTGCTGAATCAATAAACAAAAATAGGGATTTCTAAACTCAGAAATATTTTAGTGAAATTATGTGGCACTATTGCCCTGTGATATACTGAATAAAAGCATCACTCCTGGTGGTACATGCAGTATAATATGTTTCTAAAAGAAAACAACTTTTAAAAAATATGCTGTTCATGCTTCAAATACACATATGTTTATTGGGGAACAGACCAACTTTTCAAACAAACTATGCTATTTTTTTATAAAATACTCTTAAGGAAGTATATTAATCACAAAATAAGATTAATGTAGTCTAAGGTTAGTCACAACTGAAAAAAGAATTTAGGCTTTAGCAAGCTTTATTTTTACATGAACTTCAGCTTGACCTGAGGATCAGTTCCCCAGACTTCTGTGTGAAGAACCTTCCTTCTACAAAATGGGAACTTTGAGTGAATCAAACTACTGCTAAAATATATTCCGTGTTGTTCAGACTGCTAAAAGGTTTTTTACAAAGAACAGCTGGAACCCTTGTGACTTGGTGATGTGAGGGATGATATATATGACTTTATTATAAAGAGAGACTTTTCCCCCCTCTTCGGTAACTGTGACTGCTTAGTGCTGAGAAGTAGAGGGAGGCTTTTCAGGAAGCTTTTATCTTGATTTCAGCTCTAAGTTCAGAGTTTGCATTGTCTGAAGAGGTGGAAGGATTCTGTGCATAGGAAATGTACTAATTTTTTTTTTTAAATAAAATTTTTTCCCCTTGAAAATAAGTTTTACAGTCCACAAAGTTCTGTATGCAGAATTTAAAGTATCGTCAAGGATATTTTGAACATGCTGAGCTGTTCAGTCTTATGTGTGGAATCATTAACTGGTGCATGAATAAGACAAAAAAGGATGATCATTGTCATGTAAAGCAGTTGCTTACATTTTATGCAATATTGCCCATATTATTGAACAGCAAATGGCTTTTTTTTTTTTTTTTTTTACAGGCAGCTTCTAAGTTTACCTCTCTCCCTATCTGAAGAGGAATTGCTTAGAATGAGGCAAGAGTTGCACTGCACCTTATCTCAGGTGGACAGCAGCTTGGCTTGGCCCAAGATAAGAGCAAGAACCTTGCTTCAGGCTTTCAAGGTGGAAGAGAGGGATGCAGAGATGCTGAAAGTTGATCAGAATTTAGCATTGACCAATAAACAGGTGAGAACAATGTGGGATCAGTGTGGGGATGTGCAAGGGATTCAAGGGTGTATTGCAGGTTGTTGGGCTCAGCTGCAGGTATGGGTCTGTAGCTGCTTTATAGGTACAGCAGCAGTGCACACTTCTCCTGTTGGCATAAATCAGCGGACCATAAAGATAATTGTTCGGGTAGCAGTTGCATAAATGTCGGGCTTTTTACATACACCTGTGTGTTTCTGCTGCTTGTGTGTCGTCCAGCTTTCCCAAGAAGAAGGTACAGTTATAAAGAAGCAGATGAGTAGCCAAAAGGCACTGTATCTTTGAGGAGAGTCCACTGAAATGCCAAAAATCTGGGTGATGCTCAGCCTGGCTCTGAATATTAGGGACAAGTTGGATCCTTTACAGCCCAGGTTGAGTTCTCTCTGGCAGCCCCTCCACATTACTAAATTTGACACTAAATCAAGGAAAGCTTCAAGGAGTTTCTGTAGGGGAATGACCTACATTGTGTTGTCCATTTGTGAAAGTAATGTTCTTGAATTAGCTGGTCTTTCTTGGCAAGAATTTGGACTTGATTTATGTTTGTTCTTTCCAGGAGTGTTGGGTGTATACAGACGGTTGGGTTTTGTTGGTTTTTGGGTTTTAAATTTAAGTATGTAGAAGATGAGACATGTTTACTCAAAGTTAGAGAGACATTTCC